CTCCTTGCAGTCCAAGGGACTCTCAAGAGTCTTCTCCAACACCACAGTTCAAAAGCATCAATTNACTGCACCCAGCCCAACCCGGGCTTCCTCCACACCGTGACTTCCTTTTGGCAGAACGCTCGCTACGGAACGCCCAGCTTCCTCCCGCCCGTAACAGCAGGTAGCCGGCGAGGTTACTTGCCCACAAGTCTGGATTTCTGTAAAACGGCACTTCCGCTTTAAATATTAAAGCCTGCCTTCAGAACTCCTTAGGACAGAGTTTTCAACAGATGGGAGGTTAAAGATTAGGCGGGAGATGATACTCCGTAAGAAAATGGGCGATATTGAATCTTCCCGCTTAGACATGATCTCTGACTTTGTGAAGTCGGCTTATGCTTAGCGTCGAAGTCTCATAGCCTACTTGAGACGGGCTTTATTTCTTCTTAGGCATGTTGCTAGATTTTTCATTCCTTTGCTGATGGTGTTAGTAGAATCGCTCCCTCCCCTAGCTCCCCCTTCCTCCCCAGAAATGATGAAAGAATGAGTAGACTTTTAGGTATTGGCCTGGAAATAGCTTTCCACCTGCTACCTATACCACTGACCTCACCCCACCTCAAACAGTGTGGAAACACAGCTGCCAAAGTCTTCCTTGTAAAAGGTTAACTGGATCATGTCACTTCCTTACTCAGTACATGCCAGTGGCTTGTTTCCCATTGTGTCTAGCATAAAATATAAGTTCCTTAACATGATCCCCACGGTGTGGCAGAACTTGCATCAGCTCTACATGACTTCCACCTTCCATTACCTTGTTCCAGTGCCCTGACCTGTTACTTGAATCCACTGAGCTTTCTCTTCCTTCACAGCCTGACCTAAAGGTGTCAGGAAAGCACAGAAGGGAATGAGAACTAATACAACTTTCTCCTGCCCTAGACTGACCACATTTTCATCTATCAGCTGGCAAAGAGGTTCTCCTTGACCAAACTTTACTCAGGCTCTCTTAAACCCTCTTGACTAGCATAGCCCAGTTCTAGCAAGGATCCGGATAAGTTAATGGATTAAAAATCCCCCCCCTCACCCTTGATATGGAATCACCCTGGGATCCTGCAGCAAGAATTCTATTAGGTTGGTTTCGCAAGAATCTCCCTTACCCTTGACGGCTCCTGTTCATAATTCTCCATCCACCGACCACTGCTGCCACCTGCTCATTGGCTATAAATCCCCAGCTGTCTTTCTTATATTCAGAGGTGAGCCTGATCTCTCTCCCCTGTTGTGATTGTCTTGGCACCTCCTTCAATATCCTGAATACGTTTGCCAGAATAATTTAAAAGAAAATTATTCACACAATATTTTTGGATCAATGAGCCCTGAGGAGTGAGGAGCCAGGGGACTTAAGGCAATGTATTTCTAGCTCAGGCTTCTTTTCTTTTTTTGGCCTCGACATGTGGCATGTGTGAACTTAATTCCCTGACCAGGGATCAAATCCTAACCCCTTGCACTGGAAGTTTGGAGTCTTAACCACTGATCACCAGAGAAGTCCCTCTAGCTCAAGTTTATGGATAGATAATTTATCAGTCCCTGGTAAAGTCCCTGGTAAAATCCTTGGACCCCCTGGTGGCTCAGCGGGTGAAAAATCTGCCTGCAAAGTGGAAGACCTGGGTTCAGTCCCTGGGTTGGGAAGATCCCCTGGAGAAGGAAAAGGCTGCCCACTGCAGTATTCTGGCCTGGAGAATTCCATGGACTGGTATAGTCCAGGGAGTCACAAAGAGTCAGACACGACTGAGCGACTTTCACTTTCAAGGCTTAGTTTCATGGAAGAGTATCCACTCCCCTTAGTATTAACAGAAAGGAATTAAATACAGGATATCAAGTGGCTCACAGGAACTTGTGAGAGCCGAAGAACTTGACTCTTGGCTGAAATTCCCAGTATTGTGACTAGGAACCCAACTGCTTACTGGAGAAGCATCTACTATGGATGCTAGTTCTAGAATCTACACCAGTAAAAGGGCTACCTCATGCATGGTCTCTGTCCCCACTTAACTCTTCTGAATAACACTCTCAAGTAACCGTTATACCTAATGACAGAAACTAAAAGCTATGGCATCTCAGCAGTGTGGCAGTCTGGGAAATGTAGTTTCCAGCCTCTCTAATATAGGAAGACATAGTGGAAGGAATTTCAAACAGGTGGATGCTGAGTGAGCCAGTTCAGGGCACCAAGACTTTCTGAGCACTAGCTGTCCTGAACTCCTTGTGTGGTGCCCTGCGATAAACACTGTATTCATTGAAAGAGGGAAGTGGATGTGGAGTATTGAAGGAGAGCTGAGATTCCCACCAGGTGGCACTGTTTAATAGATAAGGGAATGAGAGAATCTAATCCCTACTGCTTAACTTTGGAAAACTGGGAGAAACCTTTTCCAGCTGCCAAACCAGATTGAACTCCAAATCCTCTTGTCCAGTTCAGTATTACTGTGGCAAATGGAACTGAACCTGTTTTCATGATTGCAATGTCAGAATATACAAGTATTTCAGGATTGTTTATGGGTATGTTGTGAGTGCAGAGAAAGGTAGTCAGAGGGAAGATCCACGTCTAATATCAGGGGCTGTCTCCCAAACACAGGCTCTTCATGTTTCCTCAGGAATTAGGCTGCTTTACCCACATGTCTGCCCAGGTCCTAGGTTGTCCACTCGTCTCAATTGTCACGTTCTGGGAGGTTGCTGAACTTGATCACTCAGCATCCACCTGTTTGAAATTCCTTCCACTATGTCTTCCTATATTAGAGAGGCTGGAAACTACATTTCCCAGACTGCCACACTGCTGAGATGCCATAGCTTTTAGTTTCTGTCATTAGGTATAACGGTTACTTGAGAGTGTTACTCAGAAGAGTTAAGTGGGGACAGAGACCATGCATGAGGTAGCCCTTTTACTGGTGTAGATTCTAGAACTAGCATCCATAGTAGATGCTTCTCCAGTAAGCAGTTGGGTTCCTAGTCACAATACTGGGAATTTCAGCCAAGAGTCAAGTTCTTCGGCTCTCACAAGTTCCTGTGAGCCACTTGATATCCTGTATTTAATTCCTTTCTGTTAATACTAAGGGGAGTGGATACTCTTCCATGAAACTAAGCCTTGAAAGTGAAAGTCGCTCAGTCGTGTCTGACTCTTTGTGACTCCCTGGACTATACCAGTCCATGGAATTCTCCAGGCCAGAATACTGCAGTGGGCAGCCTTTTCCTTCTCCAGGGGATCTTCCCAACCCAGGGACTGAACCCAGGTCTTCCACTTTGCAGGCAGATTTTTCACCCGCTGAGCCACCAGGGGGTCCAAGGATTTTACCAGGGACTTTACCAGGGACTGATAAATTATCTATCCATAAACTTGAGCTAGAGGGACTTCTCTGGTGATCAGTGGTTAAGACTCCAAACTTCCAGTGCAAGGGGTTAGGATTTGATCCCTGGTCAGGGAATTAAGTTCACACATGCCACATGTCGAGGCCAAAAAAAGAAAAGAAGCCTGAGCTAGAAATACATTGCCTTAAGTCCCCTGGCTCCTCACTCCTCAGGGCTCATTGATCCAAAAATATTGTGTGAATAATTTTCTTTTAAATTATTCTGGCAAACGTATTCAGGATATTGAAGGAGGTGCCAAGACAATCACAACAGGGGAGAGAGATCAGGCTCACCTCTGAATATAAGAAAGACAGCTGGGGATTTATAGCCAATGAGCAGGTGGCAGCAGTGGTCGGTGGATGGAGAATTATGAACAGGAGACGTCAAGGGTAAGGGAGATTCTTGCGAAACCAACCTAATAGAATTCTTGCTGCAGGATCCCAGGGTGATTCCATATCAAGGGTGAGGGGGGGGATTTTTAATCCATTAACTTATCCGGATCCTTGCTAGAACTGGGCTATGCTAGTCAAGAGGGTTTAAGAGAGCCTGAGTAAAGTTTGGTCAAGGAGAACCTCTTTGCCAGCTGATAGATGAAAATGTGGTCAGTCTAGGGCAGGAGAAAGTTGTATTAGTTCTCATTCCCTTCTCTGCTTTCCTGACACCTTTAGGTCAGGCTGTGAAGGAAGAGAAAGCTCAGTGGATTCAAGTAACAGGTCAGGGCACTGGAACAAGGTAACGAAAGGTGGAAGTCATGTAGAGCTGAGGCAAGCTCTGCCACACCATGGGGATCATGTTAAGGAACTTATATTTAATGCTAGACACAATGGGAAACAAGCCACTGGCATGTACTGAGTAAGGAAGTGACATGATCCAGTTAACCTTTTACAAGGAAGACTTTGGCAGCTGTGTTTCCACACTGTTTGAGGTGGGGTGAGGTCAGTGGTGTAAGTAGCAGGTGGAAAGCTATTTCCAGGCCAATACCTAAAAGTCTACTCATTCTTTCATCATTTCTGGGGAGGAAGGGGGAGCTAGGGGAGGGAGCGATTCTACTAACACCATCAGCAAAGGAATGAAAAATCTAGCAACATGCCTAAGAAGAAATAAAGCCCGTCTCAAGTAGGCTATGAGACTTCGACGCTAAGCATAAGCCGACTTCACAAAGTCAGAGATCATGTCTAAGCGGGAAGATTCAATATCGCCCATTTTCTTACGGAGTATCATCTCCCGCCTAATCTTTAACCTCCCATCTGTTGAAAACTCTGTCCTAAGGAGTTCTGAAGGCAGGCTTTAATATTTAAAGCGGGAGTGCCGTTTTAGAGAAATCCAGACTTGTGGGCAAGTAACCTCGCCGGCTACCTGCTGTTACGGGCGGGAGGAAGTTGGGCGTTCCGTAGCGAGCGTTCTGCCAAAAGGAAGTCACGGTGTGGAGGAAGCCCGGGTTGGGCTGGGTGCAGTCCGCTGCTGCGTGCGGGCGCTGGTCCCCATGGCCGCCCCAGCCGTGTGGAGGCGGAGCCGAGGCGGGGCGCTGATCCCGAGGACCGCCCCACCCGCCTGGAGGCGGAGCACGGTCAGCTGACTCTCGGACTCGCTGGCTGCTCGCACCCTCCCCCGGACCCCGGACGGGAAGTCAGGAGCCGAGGCGGCGGCCGGTGGTTACGGGGCGGGCCCCGGTAGAGAGCAGCTGAGCAGCCATGGAGCAACGCGGGCTGGGGAGGCTGCGGCTACCCGGGCTGCTGGCGCTGCTGGCGGCGCTGACGCCGCGCGTCTCTGCTTCGCAGGACCTGAATCTTTGGCCCCTGCCTCTCTCCGTGAAGACGACCCCGCGGTTGCTGTACCTATCGCCCGGAAACTTCTTCTTCGGGCACAGCCCCACTTCCAAGGCCGGCCCCTCCTGCGCAGTCCTGCAGGAAGCGTTTCGGCGGTGAGCGCTCCCGACGGGCGGCCAGGGAGGGGACCCGGAGACCCCGGGACGGGGAGGGACGGACCACCCTGGGACGCAGCGCAGGCGCGGGGCCCGAGAGGAGGAGCACCTGAGAGCCTCTTAGCACCTGCACGGCCATCCAGCCTCGCCGACGCTCTTGCCCCTGTTTGACAGGTGAACCGGCCAGTGACCAGACCAGAGTCACGGGTCTAGAAGAGAGCCGAGCCGGCTTGGAGCCGCGGGGACTGACACGCAAGCCCTCCCCTGGCCTCCCCTCCCCTCCCCCGCCTCCTAAGGGACCTCCTGCGTGCTCGGGAACCCGTTCGGGTGCAGGATATTGAGCGGCAGGAGTAGCGTGCTCAGAGTTTGTGGCCATTGTTCGCCTCGGAGAATGGAGTGGATGGAGGGTTAATGGCAGTTTATCTGGAGGGAGTTCGAAGAGGAAGATGGGTTCTTCAAGTTTGCGGACTAGGGGTTTCCCAAAGTGGCTTGTCATTTATAGGCAATCTCTCCTCCCCCAGTCTAGTAACAGTTCAGGTGGCAGGAAGTCCTTCGGTTGAAGCATTGTCAAAAACTCCCATTCCCTTCCCAAATCTCTGTTCCATGCAAAGTGTTGGCTGTTTTCACCTCCTACTTCGGTATGGTCACTGCACTGCAGTACCTGCTTCTCCTTTTGTTTGCCAGAAGCACTTGTGTGCTTACTCTCCCAGGATCCTGTTTAGATCCTTAGCGCTTCTCAGCCCTCCAGCCTCAGGTCTGTAACCCCATTGGCCGCAGGGTGAATTGTGTAGTAGGGAGGCAGCCCACAGTGCTAGCTTTTTCTTCCTTTCTTTTTAAAACTGATGTCTAGTTGATTTGGGGGTGGGGGGGTGCTTCCCTGATGGCTCAGCTGTAAAGAATCTGCCTGCCAATGCATCAGACACAAGAGACATGGGTTCCATCCCTGCCTGGGTGGGGAAGGTCCCCTGGGGGAGGAAATGGCAACCCACGGCAGCATTCTTGCCTGGACAGTCCCCGTGGACAGAGGAGCCTGGTGGGCCGCAGTCCATGGGGTCACAGAGGGCGGGCGTGACTACTGACTGAGCAGCAGTAAGAGCTGATTTGCGGTGTTATACCGCGGCGCTAGCTTTGCTCACTACAGTGCAAGGCGGACTGCCCTTGGGGCGATGTCTCAAGAAGCCTCAGGCTTCGACCTGTCCTCAAGGCGCCCTGAAGGAGTGTGGCTTGGTGCTCACTGTACAGGTCCTTTCCTCCCTCAGAGTTTGGTCCTTGTTCCCTGAGGTCATTAGAGCTTAACTGTGCTGGCAGGACACCAAGCAGCTGGGAGGTAAAAGCAGGACTAGTCAGATCAGCAGCTGCTGACCCCAGCTAGGCCTCGCACTTAGGCTTAGGCAGGAGAGACTTAGAAGTCGATGGCAGAGATGGCACAACTCCTTCAGTTGTGAACCACTAAATAAGACGAGGGCCAATGTAACCCTCATTTTAGATGCATAATCTAATAAGTCTTTGGTGTTGAATTTGTTGAATTTGAATTCAGGTCAGAATGGCTAGAGTCTGGGTGAAGAAGTAATATGAAGGTGGTTGATTACCTGCCTTGGGATACTGAGAAGGAAAAAGTACCTGAAGGCCATTTAATGGAAGATCATGACTTGGGAATCTTTGAAACATCAACACACCTTATTTGCTCTGGGACTCAGTTCGTAAAACTGGCTTTTCCTTCCGTGCCATACTGCTAGTAAAACAAGGACACGGTGATCAGCTGAATGGTGTGAGTCTGGCAAGAAAGCGTGGATGATGTCAGGCAGCCATGGTTAGATAACCAGAACATGAACAAGCTGTGAGATGATTTCCGAAACAAGGCTTGGCATCCTAAGGGAGTGTAGGTAGTTATCTGAGGACTTTGCCTAACTAATTTGTGCCCTGTGTGGGAAGCAGCTATTAATTATACCCTGCATGTTAGGAAGCAGGGTATAAAACATTAGCCATTATGGCTGAGACTTGAAAGCATTCACGAGAGTGTTCTAGGAATTGAGGAGGGGCCTTTACTACTTGAGAGTAAATGCGTGATGGAGTTGAAAAGGTTTAGAGATGATGGGGTGTTCTAGAATCTCGAGGCCATGGAGAACAGGTAAAACTGGGGCCCCAGTGTGCTGAGATCCTCAAGGCTCCTGTCTCCTGAAGAACCCACTTCTATCAACCCCTGCTTTGAAACAGTATGCATTTTGCAGGCAGAGTTCTGTCTGTCTGCTATGTGGCTGCTTCCTTAGCTGTTACAGCAAGATCACATGCCAGTTTTTGTTTTTAACCTTTTCCCCTCCTTAGTTAACCAAAACTTTAGTTTCAGTTCCTGACAAGCTCAAATGGGCTTCCCTGGTGGCTCAGATGGCAAAGAATCTGCTTGCAATGCAGGAGACCCATGTTCAATCCCTGGGTCAGGAAGCCCACTGGAGAAGGGAGTGGCTGCCCAAGGCTGAGACTTGAAAGCATTCAGGAGAGTGTTCTAGGAACCGAGGAGGGGCCTTTACTACTTGAGAGTAAATGCATGATGGAGTTGAAAAGGTTTAGAGATGATGGGGTGTTCTAGAATCTCGAGGCCATGGAGAACAGGAAAAACTGGGGCCCCAGTGTGCTGAGATCCTCAAGGCTCCTGTCTCCTGGAGAACCCACTTCTATCAACCCCTGCTTTGAAACAGTATGCATTTTGCAGGCAGAGTTCTGTCTGTCTGCTATGTGGCTGCTTCCTTAGCTTTTACAGCAAGATCACATGCCAGTTTTTTTGTGTTTTTTTTTTTAACCTTTTCCCCCTTAACCGATGGGGGGAAGTTTTGGGTCCTTAACCGAAACTTTAGTTTCAGTTCCTGCCAAGCTCAAATGGGCTTCCCTGGTGGCTCAGATGGCAAAGAATCTGCTTGCAATGCAGGAGACCCATGTTCAGTCCCTGGATCAGGAAGACCCCCTGGAGAAGGGAGTGGCTGCCCACTCAAGTATCCTTGCCTGGAGAATTCCATGAACAGAGGAGCCAGGCTGGCTACAGTCTATGGGGTCACAAAGAGTTGGAGACGATGGAGCTATTGACTGTTTCATACACACCTTGGATACCACTGCGTCAGATCCCTTTGGGTTTTCTGTTAAGAGTTTTAATATCCAAGGCCAAGCTTTTCCTTATTTAGGACAAGCCAGCACCTGACTCAAATCTTAACGCTGCCAACAGCTTTAATATCCCTTTAAATTTTTTTTTAAATCGTGCTAGTGTATACATAAGATTGCTATGTACTCAGTTGTGTCTGACTCGTAGCCCCATGGGCTATATAGCCCTCCAGGCACCTCTGCCCATAGAATTTTCTAGTCAAGAATACTGGATTGGGTTGTCACTTCCTGCTCCAGGGGATCTTCCCAAACGCAGGGGTGGAACCACCATCTCTGTGTCTCCTGCATTGGCAGCTGGATTCTTTACAACTAGTGCCAACAGGGAAGCCCTAGGGTGCTGTGTTAGCCATTTTTAGCTATACAGTTTAGTGATCTTTATTTCCTTTTGAATCTGTCAGAATTTTTCGATAGGGACTTCCCTGGTGGTCCAGGGGCTTAGACTTCCTGGATGCTGCCAATGCAGGGGCCCAGGTTCTATCCTCAGTAAGGGAACTAGATCCCACCTGCCAGAACTAAGGCTCAGCCCCGCCAAGTAAATAAATTATGTATTTTTAAATTATAAAAAGATTTTCCTAAGCTAATGATTTTCCCCAGCACCTTCATCTGTTTCACTGTCTCACTGGTTAACTTCCATACACTTCCAAGTCCATCAGAACTTTCCCATCTCTCCTTACTTCCCTGGAAAAAACAGAAGACAGTCTTATGAATAAGTAGCTTATACAGCCTTCTGGCTTTTCAAACTGTGTTACAGGTCTTAGGCTCTGAAGACTATGTGATCTTTTTATCTTCTAGCACCTTCAAATGTTTATTTCCTACCCTCTTCCTCTGACATTCAGGTACCAGCAGAATGTAAATTGTCCAGGCCGTAGTGAGGATTCTTTGGTGTTGTTAGCTGGATACTTCTGTTGGAAGGTAACTGAGCCCCGACTCAGTGTGGCGTGAGCAGAAAGAAAAGCTGTCATCTCAGATGTTGTGGTTGTTCAGTTGCCCAGTTGTGTCCAACTCTCTGCGACCCCATGGAGGCAGCATGCCAGACCTCTGTCCCTCACCATCTTCCGAAGTTTGCCCAAGTTCATATCCACTGTATTGGTGATTCCATCCTGCCATCTCATCCTATGACACGTTCCTCTTCTGCCCTCAATCTTTCCCAGCATCAGGGACTTTTCCAGGGTGTCAGCTGTTCACATCAGGTGACCAGAATACTGGAGCTTCAGCTTTAGCATCTGTCCTTCCAGTGAACAGTCAGGGTTGATCTCCCTTAGGATTGGCTGGTTTGATCTCCTTCTGTCCAAGGGACTCTCAGGAGTCTTCTTCAGCACCGTAGTTTTGAGGCATCAATTCTTTGGTGCTCTGCCTTCTTTACAGTCCAGCTCTCACAACCATCCGTGACCACTGGGAAGACCACAGCCTTGACTGTACGGAACTTTGTCCACAGAGTAATGTCTCTGCTTTTCAGCACGCTGTCTAGTTTTCATAGCTTTCCTGCCGAGAAGCAAATATCTTCCGATTTCTCTACAGGTACCATCCACAGTGATTTTAGAGCCCAAGAAGAGGAAATCCGTCACTGACTTCCACCTTTTCCCCCTCTATTTTCCATGAAGTAAGGGGCCAGTAGCTCATTTGGTAAAGAATCTGCCTGCAAACCTGGAGACCCGGAGTCAATCCTTGGGTTGGGAAGATCCTCTGGAGAAGGAGATGATAACCCACTTCTGTATTCTTGCCTAGAGAATCCCATGGACATAGGAGCCTGGCAGACTACAGTCCATGGGGTCGCAAGAGTCAGACATGACTTAGCGTCTAAACCCCCACCTAATCGGGCCAGATGCCATGATCTTAGTCTTTTTAATAGTTAGTTTTAAGGAAGCTCTTTCTTTCCCCTCCTTCACCCTCATCAGGAGGCTCTTCAGTTTTTCTTCACTTTCTACCATTAGAGTGGCATCATCCCTGTGTCTAAGGTTCTCCTGCCTGTCTTGAATCCAGGTGATAACTTATCCAGTCCAGCATTTCTCATGATGTGCTTAGCGTACAGTTTAAACAAACAGGGTGACAGCAGACAGCCCTGTCTACTTGTTTCTCAATCTTGAACCATTCAGTCATTGGTGGCTCAGACAGTAAAGAATCTCACACATTGGGAAGTCCAAAAGCAGGCAGGATTTCAGGGCTAGTTGGCTACGTGGCTTGACAGTATCATTAGGAAATCTGTGTTCTTGGCATCTCTGACCTGCTTTCTTTGGTGTGGCTGCCACTTGTGTAGGTGTCATATACAGAGAAACTTTTCTTCTTGGTACTCACCTCGGAGAGGAAGCGTCCTCCCACCCTCCTCCCATCTGTGTCTCGTCACTGGTCAGAATGGGCTTGCACACCCAGGATTATTGGTTCGATTACTTTTATAATGGGGACCTCATAAGAGTCACTTGGGGTCATGGCCCAGGCAGCTTTTAAAATCACACTCTCGGAGATTCTGATTCTGAAGGTCTGTACATCAGTGAAAGTAAAAGTCACTAGGTTGTGTCTGATTCTTTGTGACCCCATGGGCTATACAATCCATGAAATTCTCCAGGCCAGAATAGTGGAGTGGGTGGCCTTTCCCTTCTCCAGGGGGTCTTCCCTACCCAGGGATGGAGCCCAGGTCCCACATTGCTGGCAGATTCTTTGCCAGGTGAGCCAACAGGGAAGCCCTGGACATTAGTGCCTGTTTGCAAAATGCTCCCCGGGTGATTCTGATGTGCAGCTTGAGGTGGGAGCTTCTAGTTGGACTCATACCAGGTAGCAAGGGTTTGAGGAGTCAACGACATCACCTACTACCACGTATGTATTTAAAACTTAGCTTGTGTTGTTCAGTCGCCCATTACGTGAGACTCTATGGACTGCAGCACATCAGGCTCCTCTGTCCTTCATTATCTCCCAGAGTTTGCTCAAATTTATGCCCATTGAGCCCCTGATGCTATCTAATCACCTCATCCTTTGTCACCCCCTTCTTTTGTCTTCAATAAAACATGGCTACAGTGGTAATCGACTATACCAGATCCCACTCTAGTATGGCAGAAAGTGAATAGCAATAAAGAGTCTCTTGAAGAGGGTTAAAAAAGACAGGGAAAAAGGCTGGCTTAAAACTCAACATTCAAAAAGCTAAGATCATGGTATCCAGTCACATCACTTCATGGCAAAGAGGGAAGCAATGGAAACAGTGAAAGTTTTCACTTTCTTGGGCTCCAGAATCATTGCAGACAGTGACTGCAGCCAGGAAATCAAAAGAGCCTTGCTTCTTGGAAAGAAAGCTATGATAAACCTAGAGAGTGTATTAAAAAGCACAGACATCACTTTGCTGACAAAAATCCATATAGTCAAAACTATAGTTTTTCCAGTAGTCCCGTATGGATGTGAGAGTTGGACCATAAAGAGATCTGAGCACTGAAAAATTGATGCTTTGAAATTGTGGTGCTAGAGAAGACTCTGGAGAGTCCCTTGAACTGCAGGGAGATCAGACCAGTCAATCCTAAAGGAAATCAACCCTGAATATTCATTGGAAGGACTGGTGCTGAAGTTCTAATACTTGGGCCACCTGATGTGAAGAGCTGACTCTGGAAAAGACTCTGATGCTGGGGAAGATTACGGCAGGAAGAGAAAGGGAGGAGAGAGGATGAGATGGCTGGATGACATCACTGACTCAGTGGACAAGAGTTTGAGCAAACTCTGGGAGATACTGAAAGACAGGGAAGCCTGGTATGATACACTTCAAGGAGTCACAAAGAGTCAGACCCGACTTAGCGAATGAACAATGGTTTAAAAATTTGTTTGAATTTCTCTCACACAGATATTATGACTATATTTTTGGTTTCTACAAGTGGCATCATGGCTATAAGAAAATTCCAAGTGAAATGGAGTTACAGAAACTTGAAGTCTTAGTTATCATGGACCCACAATGTGACCGTTTCCCCAACATCACTTCGGATGAGTCTTGTGAGTACCTATGTCATGGGAATGGATTGTACACAAAACTGCTTGTTACATACTTGAGTAACAGAAGCTGACTCTACTCCATGAACTAATGTGAGCTCTTAACCAGTGAGTTTATAATTATTATTTTAAAAAAAAACATTCGGGAACTTCCCTGGTGGTTCAGTGGTTAAGAGTCTCTACTTCCACTGCAGGGAGCACAGGTTTGATCCTTGGATGGGGAACCAAAGTCCCACATGCTGTGCATATGGCAATAATAAATAACTAAATAATTACCATTAAAGTCTGATGGCAAAACTAAAACATAATCATTGCAGGAAATCTTTAAGTACAGTAAGTGAAGAGGAGGAAATAAATTATTCATAATCTCAGCACTCAAGAGTTAACCTCAGTTACTTACATATTTTTTTTGCAGAGTAATGCATTTGAATGTTTTACATAGATATAAATAAAAGCATAAGATAAAGGGCATGAAAAAGGGGTCTAGTTCTGTGCATGTGGTTTTTCTGTTTTTCATTTTCCATGTGTTATGCTAAGTTGCTTCAGTCGTGTCTGACTCTTTGAGACCCCATGGACTATAGCCTGCCAGGCTCCTTTGTCCATGGGATTTCCCAAGCAAGAACACAGGAGTGGTTTGCCATTTCTTTCTCCAGGGAATCTCTATGACCCAGGGATTGAGCCTGTATCTCTCATGTCTCCTGCATTGACATGCGGTTCTTTACCAATAGGATGACCTAGGAAGCCTCTTCTTTGCCTACAAACATGAATTTCAATAAATATTTTACAATGACAGCATTTTTAGTGGCTGAATAATCTTCTACCAACTGTATGGATGTGCCAAAACTTACTTGGCTTATCCCTTAATTTTGGACATCTAGATAGTTTATTTTGAAATCAAGTCTGTGCTTATAGGCATGATCTTTCTTTCTTTTTTGGGGGGCACAGTATGCAGGATCTCAGTTCCCTGACCAAGAATTGAACCTGTGCCCCTTGCAGTGGAAGCACAGAATCTTAACCACTGGACTTCCAGCGAAGTCCTGGCATGATTTCTATTTATAATTAAGTTGACACATAGATAATGAGGAGCTGAGAGGGATGAAGTTTTTCACTTTGATTTATATTTATGTTGTATTATATTTATATTCCATCTTCATTTATACTGATTGAAAATATATCAACATTTAATGAACATGAATTTCACTAAATATTTTTTAATGACAGCATTTTTAGTGGCTGACTAATGTTCTACCAACTGTATGGTTGTGCCAAAACTCACTTGGCTTATCCCTTAATTTTGGACACCTAGATAATTTATTTTGAAATCAAGTCTGTGCTTATAGGCATGATCTTTCTCTCTCTCTTTTTATTTTTTGGCACAGTATGTGGGATCTTAGTTCCCTGACCAAGAATTGAACCTGTGCCCCTTGCAGTGGAAGCACAGAATCTTACACTGGGCTCCAGCAAAATCCTGGCATGATTTCTGTTTATAATTAAGTTGACACATAGATAATGAGGAACTGAGAGGGATGAAGTTTTTCACTTTGATTTATATTTATGTTGTATTATATTTATATTCCATCTTCATTTATATTGATTGAAAATATATCAACATTTAGTTACATGATTTCTTGTTTGTGTAAAATATTCCTAACTTGTTGTAGGAAGAATAAGCGGATGGGCAGACCTTTATCATAGCATGCACTGACTGGATTACGTGGAATTGTACCACGGAATCAAACAAGAGCAGTGGGCGATTTAGGATTAGTGCAGAAAGAGCAGACTGGTGAGTCAGGTGTAAAAATAGAAAGGAAAATGCATATCTTAGAGAAAAGAGTAACCCCTTTGTTCTCAGACTGCCTCACAGACAGTTAAAATACATCTCTTCATCCTTTTAATTAGACTAGAGGTGAGATTTCTTGATGCCTTGATACATCTTTCTGCAAAATAATTTCACTTCTCTTCCATTCTGTGGCTGTTCTTAGACGAGAAACAAGATGGTTTGCCCACATTGGTCATGTGAGTTGACAGCACTCAGACACTTTATGAATTAGATTTTGCAATCTGAATTGAGAAATTATCAGCAAATTACCAAGGAATCTTTGCTCACTAGCAGTAAAATGACATACAGTAAAATCCAAACAATGGAATATATTGAGGCTGGGGAGTTACAGTCTGCCTTGCATTCAGTTTTGCAAACTCCATTTTTCTGAATGGGAGACTTCTGGAGATAAGCTAACCATGAAATTTTCTGGTTAAAGGACAAACTAGTTTTAAACTAGTTGTTGATGATGATGATGATGATGATGATAGAAGTAACAGACAAATAGAAATAACAAGATATCAACCATTGTGCAAGGGTACAAGGAAATCTTGGAGAAACTTGGAGTTAACTTGGAGTGTTAACAGAGAAAGAGCAGACTGGTGAGTCAGGTGTAAAAATAGAAAGGAAAATGCATATCTTAGAGAAAAGAGTAACCCCTTTGTTCTCAGACTGCCTCACAGTTAAAATACATCTCTTAATCCTTTTAATTAGACTAAAGGTGAGATTTCTTGATGCCTTGATACATCTTTCTGCAAAATAATTTCATTTCTCTTCCATTCTGTGGCTGTTCTTAGACGAGAAACAAGATGATTTGCCCACATTGGTCATGTGAGTTGACAGCACTCAGACACTTTATGAATTAGATTTTGCAATCTGAATTGAGAAATGATCAGCAAATTACCAAGGAATCTTTGCTGACTAGCAGTACAATGACATGTTGTAAAATCCAAGTGACGGAATATGTCGAGGCTGGGGAGTTACAGTCTGCCTTGCATTCAGTTTTGCAAACCCCATTTTTCTAAATGGGAGACTTCTGGAGATAAGCTAACCATGAAATTTTCTGGTTAAAGGACAAACTAGTTTTAAACTAGTTGATGATGATGATGATGATGATAGAAGTAACAGACAAATAGAAATAACAAGATATCAACCATTGTGCAAGGGTACAAGGAAATCTTGGAGAAACTTGTGAGTGTTAACAGCAGCATCAAGTAAAATAAAAATAGGCATCCCCTCAGAACCAGATATAGACTGATTTCTACCATAGAGAAGTAATTACATACATCAAGAATGTTCTCTGTGGTTTGTCTGCCACAGTGAATGTTTTTAAGCAAAACGAAATGTTCATCACTAGAAGAATAGCTGCATATATCTTGTCAGTTGACACTGGAGAATACTCTTCAACAATTGAGAATAAACCAGTGGAGTTACAGGACTTCTCGAGTGGTCCAGTGTTTAAGAATCTGCGTGCCAACACAGAGGACACGCGTTCGACCCCTGATCTGGGAAGATCCCATATGCTGAGGAGCAACTAAATCCAACCGCCACAACTACTGTGTCCCTGTGCCGCAACGACTGAAGCCTGCAGGCCTAGAGCCTGTGATCTGCAACAAGGGGAACGACCACAGTGAGGAACCCACACACTGCAACTCGAGAGGCGTCCCCGCTCGCTGCACCTAGAGAAAGCCCACACACAGCTGTGAAGACCCAGTGCAGCATACGTCGGTAAATGAAATACTTAAAAAACAAGTGGAGATAGAACAGACATGGAGAACTTGCCAAGATAAATTGCTGAGTTGGACAAAGGAAGATACATCATAATGTGTACAGGAGGATACCATTTATATACCAACATAATACAAGAAGGTGCACAGAAAGCAGCATTTTGTTTATTGTCACGTGGATATACAGGTGCCCCAGAAAAGACCTGCTGTTTCCTCTAAGGAAAGTAGGGAGTTCAGTGGGCATCTCAAAGGGTTTTTAGTCTTACCTATAACATTTTATTATTTTAAAAAGAGGAATCCAGTGCTGTTATTTGCATGTATACCCGTCAAAACAGTGTGGTGCAAAAAGTATAGAAGAGGATAACTGAAAGAAAGATGCCTTCATCCCACCTCAGGGAGCTTATCAGTTTTAAGACTAAGATTTGGCTTTGAAATAAAAATTCTATAGATTATTTGTCCATATATTTAGGAAACACAATCTTCTCCTTACTGCTTTATATGTGTGGTTTTTGAATTGGGTTTGAATCAGAATCCTTTTCAATATCAGCCAGTCCTCAGCTGTTGGAAAATAATTGGCATCAGGTATATGCCACATGTTAATGGTTTTAGATAAGTCTTTGTGCTGACTGATTCCAGGAGATGTCANTTTTAGATAAGTCTTTGTGCTGACTGATTCCAGGAGATGTCAGAACTGGAATGTGGCAAAAACTGGCGTTTAAACAGTGACCAGTGAAATGGTGAGTTCTATTTAGGTAGCTTAAACTAAGGATTTAATAGAGGAGTGGAATCGTGATTAGACTGTGGTCATAATAGCAATACCGTTCTTAGCCTGGCCTTTAGCTAACTCACGACTGTTCGTCTTAGGGAAAGGCTTCCTTGTCAGAGGATTGTCACTTGGTCGTTGGCTGTTGATAGAGCTGTTTCCCTATGTGTAGGCAGCTGTTAGGCAGCACCCTGGGTGCTGGTGGTGCAGGGTGATGATGAAGCAGAGATGCCAGTTAAGTCATGAGCCTGCAGCCCTCGAGTGTCCCGGCTGCTGCAGAGTCTCCATGCCTTTAGCTTTCAGCCTCTCTGTGCTTCCTGGTGCTTCGCGTTCTCTGGGGATGACTCCACGGGAAACCTTTCTGAAGACTGATGAGGTTGGGGCAACCTCTAGTTGCAGGGATGCACTTGGTTGCACCTCGGCATGGGGGATCTTACTTCCCAACCAAAGATTGAACTCCATCCCCTGCATTAGAAGGCAGATTCTGGACCACCAGCAAGGTCCCAGCAAGTGAGTGTGAAGGAAGATTCGGGACAATGTTAGGGGTGTGCAGGTCCAGGGCAAGTAGGGGGCACAGGGGGAGAGCGGCCGGAGCAGAGAAAACTCTGGTCTTACAGAGCGCAAGACGGATACCAGAGGCTCCATCAGGGGATGAGGGGCACTGAGGAGCTTGCCCTTTTGACTTAAACTCCTGGCTTAAGTGAGACCCTGCTCTGTAGAGGCTAGCGGGAGAGAACTCTCCAGTAAGGGAGAATGAGGAATGAGGGCGGGCCACCCCGCTTCCTGACCTGAGCTCCTGGGCTGGCTGAGTGAGGAGAGGATGAGTCCAGAGCCCAGCGAGTGAGAAGCGGGAAGAGTTCAGTCTGGGGCTTGTGGAGTTTAAGGAAGAGCCTCCAGGGTTTCCGGGGCTTCCCTGGTAGCTCAGCTGGTAAAGAATTCGCCTGTAGTGCAGGAGACCCCAGTTTGATCCCTGGGTCAGGAAGATTCCCTGGAGAAGGGGTGATAGGCTACCCCCTCCAGTATTCTTGGGCTTCCCTTGTGACTTAGCTGGTAAAGAATCCCCAAGAAATGTGGGAGACCTGGGTTCGATCCCTGGGTTGGGAAGATCCCCTGGAGACAGGAAAGGCCACCCACTCCAGTATTCTGGCCTGGAGAATTCCATGGACTGAGAATTCCATGGGGTCGCAAAGACTCGGACGGGACTGAGCAACTTTGACTTTTCACGGGACTTCCACATAAGGATATACAGAAGGCAGTTGGAGAAACAGGTTTGGAGCTCAGGAGAAAGGAATGATCCAGAAATAGCAATGATATGTTTTGGGAAATGTACTGTGTATCACTGAGGGATAAAGCAAACATTTTTTTCTTCAGTTTTACTGAGACATGACTGACAGCACCGTGTAAGTCTAGGTGTACAACATTATGATCTGACTTACATACATCGGGAAATGATTATCACAGGAAGTTAGTGAACGTCCATCTCAGATAGAAAATTAAAGAAAGAAAAACAGTTTTTTCTTGATGAGAACTCTTATGATTTACTCTGAACAACGTTCATCCCGCCGTGCTAACTGTGTTCATCATGGTGTACATTACGTCCCTTGTACTTATTTATCTTATAACCAGAAGTTAGTACCTTTTGCCTGCCTTTGTACAGTTACCACCCGCCTCTGGTAACCAAGAGTCTGATCTCTCTTTCTTGAGCTTGCTTGTTTTTGAAGTACAGTTACCTTACAACACTGTGTTAATTCCCCTTACACAACATGGTGATTCAGTATTTCTATGCATTTTTACACATAAGCCTAACTCATGACTCTGTTCTTCTGAGGAAAGGCTACCTTGTCAGAAGACTGTCACCTGATGACTAGCTGTGGTGAGATCTGTTTTCCCAGGTGTCACCCGCTGTCACGCGACACCCTGAGTGGTGGTGGCCGTGGTCAGTGATGATGAAGCAGAGAACTTCTTATTCTGTCCTGGTTTTTTGAGGTGTAATTGACATAACATTATATTAGTTTCAGGTTTACAACATAATGATTTGATATTTGTATATAATGTAAAATGTCACCATCTGTCACCATACAAGAAACATTTTTTTCTTTTTTCCAACACAGATAATTTACTTGTGAAAGGACCAGTGGCTAAGCTCACTGCCAACAGAGTTTGGGGAGTATTACGAGGTAAGTTCTATGTAGTTTCATTGTTATTTTCTAGTGAGGAAATAGTTTCAGTTGCCACTTTGGGAAATCAAGCATATTGATAGTAAAACTTTCCTTCCTGGGGGCCCTTTATAGAATGATTTGTTGGGTATTTCCAAAACAATTTCCATTAAGTACTGTATATACCACTTTAAGAAAGATCATTTATATATACCACTTAATGAAAGATCATTTGACCTTTTAAAAATGTTTGAAGGTTATTGCATTCATAACGCTGCAATTCCTTGATGTTCTTAATCTGTAATATTTAGAGTTATAAATGGCTCTGATCTGCTCCAATTAGATTTGGTTTTATCATCCATCACCTTTTGCCACCTTCAGTAGCAGCATGTCATTTCTGAATTTTATTTATTTATTCAAACAACAGTATACTCATATTTTTTTCTGAACCAGTCTATTAGTGCAGAAGCACAAAAGCAAAGAGGAAAATCATGTTCCCAGTAAAACATGTCCAACTCTCCATGTGTGGTGATGTTTTCTGCTTGATATGAGAAGATGCTCATGACCTCAGTGCAGCATAAATGCATGTGCCGTGGCATTTGAGAGTCCTTATCGACTCAGCTTGGTTCTTCTCCGGTGTCTCCTTTCAGGAGTGGAGTTGTACTTGATCTCATTGTCCATTTTCAGCTGAATCCACTGGGGAATTGGACGATTCTTCTGTTTCTTGGCCAGGAATCATTTGATCCTGGGGCTCAAGAAGAGAAGTTTAGGAACAGAGTCAACCACACACACCATGATGACCTAGAAAAGAAGAGAACCCTTCCCCCATTTTAAATTCCTGTGAATTTAGAAACATAAGAAGTTTGCAGGAACGTTGTGAAAAGATAAAAATATACTCTGAGTGATTGGAGGCAGTGAGCAGAGAAGAACCTTAAAAGCTTTTCCTGTGACTTTTAGTCTGAACTTCAAAGTTCAGGCGTTGGGACATTTACTTTTGCTGTTCGAAAGCTGCTTTGACCTCTTCTTTTGAGAGGATAAGATTTTGTTTTACTGGCTTCCAAATTAGTATGGTTTTGAAAAAGGAGAAGAATAATTTTCTTTAATGTGAGCTAGCCAGCCAAAGTTATAGTAATTAAAAGGAGAGAAGGCTTTGGATTTGACTCTGGTTGAGTGTTATCTAGAATAAAATAATGATTGTTAATGCTATGTTTTGTAGTCATAATAATTATGGTTTGATTGTGATCTTATTCAAAATAATGACAGGAAAATATCTATAGATACTTACCGCAAATGTAACTACAGATATTATCATCTAGATTATTTCCATATACTGGGATGTGATGTGAAACTGTTACCAGTCTGGTGTGCCTGTCTTGGCTGGGGCCTGTTAGGGAAATCAGCTTTATTGATGTCTGCGCTAATCCACGTAAGAACTTTTGAGAGTGTTCTGTGAATCTAGTCCAGGAAGTCTTTATTTTCCTCTTCCTGTCTGACTTTGAAAGTAACAAATGTGCCATAAATGATATTTGAGTGTACTGCTACTTAAAAGAAAATTGCAAAGTTATTCTGTATTTGGGAATAGGAGGGAGGCATAGCCAAAGGAACTTTGAACTTTTTATTCTTCCCTAATTGTTTTGAGGTATAATTGACATAACATTATATTCATTTCAGTTTTACAACTTAATGATTTGATATTTGTATTTAATGCAAAATGATCTCCACAGTAAGTTTAGTTACCATCCGTTACCGCACATAGTTAGAATTGTTTTTCTTACGATGAGAACTTTTGAGATTTACTGTTTTTAGCAACTTGCAAATAGGTAGCACAATATTTATTAATTACAGTCACTATGCTGTACCTCACATCCTTAGGACTTATGTATATACGAAAGATTGTACTTTTTGATCCATCACCCATTTTGCCCACCCCCTACCTCTGCCTGTAGTTTTTATATAAATGAGCTTGGTTTATTGTTTTTCAGATTCCACATCTAATTGAGATCAGGCAGTATTTGTCTTTGTCTTATTTCATTTAGCATAATAGCCTTAAGGTCCATCCATGTTGTTGCAAATAGCAAGCTTTCCTTCTTTCTGTGACTAAATAGTATTCCATTGTACACATATACACCCCACATCTTTATCCATTCATCCTTTGATGGATGGGTTGTTTCTGTATCTTGGCTATTGTAGCTAATGCGCAGTGAACACAGAGGTACACGTATTTGGGGTGGAGGGATTTAGTGTTTTGTTTTCTTTGGATAAACACCGAGAAGTGGAGTTGCTGGATCATGTGGTAGCTCTATTTTTAGCTTTTTAGGAACCTCCGTGTTGTTTTCTATAGTGTCTTCAGCAGTTTATATTTCCATGAACAGTGCGTAAGGGGTCCTTTTACTGCATATCCTCGCCAACAGTTGTTATTTTTGTGTTTTTGATCATAGACATTCTAACAAGTGTGAAGTGATATGTCACTGCGGTTTTGATTTGCCTTTCCCTGATGGTTAGTGATGTTGAGCACTTTCTCATTTACCTCTTGGCCATTTATGTGTCTTCCTTGAAAAAAATACTTGTTCACAATCTTCTACCCATTTTTTAATTGAACTCTTTGTTTTTTGCTATTGAGTTGTATGAATTCTTTATATACTAACCCCTTGATAGATACAAATTTGCAAGTATCTTCTCACCTTTAGTAGATTGCCTTTTCATTTTGTTGATGATTTCCTTTGATGTGCAGAAGCTTTTTAGTTTGGTGTCACCCCATTTGTTTATTTTTGCTTTTATTTCTTTTGTTTTTGGTGTCATATCCTAATAATTAATTCGTTTTTATTGTTTAGTAGAGTTCACTAGTGAAGCCTTCCGCTCCTGGCCTTTGTTTGCTGGAGACGTTTTATTATTGTTACCATCTCCTTACTAGTAATCTGTCTCAGATTCCGTTTCTGCGTAATTCAGTCTTGGTAGGTTTTCTCTCTAGGAGTTTATTCATTTCTTCTAAGTTGTCAAATTTGTTGGCATATAGTTGGTCATACTAGTCTCTTAGGATCTATCATATTTTTGTAGTATGTTGTCACATCTTCTCTTTTATTTGAGCTTGTACTACAGGGAAATGTTGGAGATATTGTGGGTTTGGTTCTAGACGACTGCACTAAAGTGACTATCTCAATAAAGGGAGTCACACAAATTTTTTGGTTTCCCAGTGGGTATAAAAGTTATGCTTACACTATACTGTAGTTTTTCAACAGTATAGTGCAACAGTAGTGCACTAGCATTATGTCTTAAAAATAGGTACATACCATAATTTAAAAATTGTTTTCATTGTTTAGTCAGTAAGTCATGTCCGACTCTTTGTGACCCCATGGACTGTAGCCCACCAGGCCCCTCTGTCCATGGGATTTCCCAGGAAAGAATACTGGAGTTGGTTGTGTTTCCTCCTCCATTTTAAAAATACTTTATTGGTGAAAAATACTCATATCATCTAACAATACAGGGTTGCCACATACTTTGGATTTGTAAAAAAACACAGTATCTGTGAAATGCAAGAAACTGAAGTACAATAAAGTGAGGTATACCTGTATCCTTAGGTTAAAATTTTCCTTGGCAATATAGTTGTCAGCTAGAATCATGGATTTTGGTAAAGTCAAGGCTAGATAGAGGAATTGGCCTATAATACAGGAAACAGTGCACATGAATAAAAAAGTCTGCAGCTATAAATAAAACACTATTTAATTTGAGCCTTTATGGTTTCATGGTGTTTTCTGAGCCTCTTAGCCTTCTGTTAAGTTTAGGTACTGATAGCTTATGGTGAGGGGTGTTGGATTTCTAATCGCCAAAGAAGATTTAGCTTCAGGACCATGGACCAGGCTTGATCACTCAAGAGCTTTTGTGTAGCGGAGTTTTGGGATGGAGAGTACCCCCTTGCTACTGTTACCAAGGGAGTTATATACTTTTAAAATTAGTTATTCAGTTCAGTTAGGTCGCTCAGTCGTGTCTGACTCTTTTCGATACCATGAACCATAGCATGCCAGGCCTCCCTGTCCATCACCAACTCCTGGAGTTACTCAAACTCATGTCCATTGAGTCTGTGATGCCATCCAGCCATCTCATCTTCTGTCGTCCCCTTCTTTTCCTGCCGCTAATCCTTCCCAGAATTAGGGTCTTTTCCTTTTTTTTTTTAATTTTTTTTTCCATTTATTTTTATTAGTTGGAGGCTAATTACTTTACAACATTGCAGTGGTTTTTGTCATACATTGAAATGAATTAGCCATGGATTTACATGTATTCCCCATCCCGGTCCCCCCTCCCACCTCCCT